TAGGTGCTCAAGCAGTCAGGAAATTCTTTGCTGTTTATGGAACTTTAAGGATCATTACCATACTCACAACAGCCTACCACTAGACTCTATCATAAGAAAGATTAATCCACTGCGCACAACAGCCCTGATCAGCTGCTGATCTACAATAATTTCATTTACCTATACAGTTAACACCAAGAAAAGAACTGTGCATAAGTTCTGTATGTATTTGATAAGCATGGCTTGCCTCTATAATTACTAGTTTGTTTTATCAAACGGGCATAATAATGACAATTGCAGTCCTTTATACTGTAAAAGGCAGCTACATGCCACTGATCATGAATTCTTTCATAGCACATACCCCTTGACCCTTTCCTTTCTCCTTTGCACCCTGTCTATGCATGGCTACTGCCTGTGGACATTGGTGGGTCCCTCTACCCTACTTTGTGAACTGATCACGCATAAAGCACTTGTGTTTGTTACTTTCAAAGTTTCAACCTGTTTAAACTGGTAATACATACAGGCAGGGTACAAAGCCACAGATTACATGATTAATTACTCATATGCACACCTATGTAACCAAAAATATGTGACTAAAAGCTCAGGATTAAACCATGGCATTTAATTTTTTCCAAAATTTGTCTAAAAGTAGGAATGAATAAATATTCATGGGAACAAAATACAGCTTATATAGAACACAAAAAGACATACATAAATGTAGAATTCACTTTTTTTTTCCTTGGCACTACAGCCCCAGTGGACCTAGGCCTACCTCCATGAACGCCGTTCACTTCGGTTTTTCTAGATCTTACACATACGGTAGGACTCCTTGGGCGAGTGATCAGCTGGTCGCAAGGCCTCTACCTGTAGACAAACACAGAAAAACACACACAAACATCCATGCCCTGAGTGGGATTCGAACCCACAATCCTGGCTTCCGGGCAAGCGAAGACAGTGCATGCCTTAGACCGCTCGGCTACTGTGACCGGCAGAATTCACTTACAAACACTAAATTAGAATACATTAAAAAATAGTCACTCTACATAAGCAACAGTACAATTAATTAGGTAAGACCATGCATGAAAGAGATCTGTCAATATACAGCATTGTTAAAAACTTTCTGAAATAAACAGTCATTTGTTTTGATCAAATTTGTTCCTTGTATTTTCCAGAAGGTTTACTGTGTTAGGCCATTTCTTAATAGTGGAGTTCTGTTGATTTCTGAAGTGAAGTACAACTGGATTTTCAGATCAGTAGTCACTGTTTTACAACATGTATCTCAGTATTTATAGTACTGATGAGCACTCTGCATGTGTGTGTCTTAATATGAGCCTCTACACTTACTGCCCATAATATTGATCAGTCAGTGGTTAATAATTTTTTGAAGGGTGACCTAAACATTACAACTGTCTTACTGAAGAGAAATCGGCGCTTTATACATTTATGGTGCGCCAAATAAACTATTTAAGAGATATGTCCCCATGTTTAATTATTAATCGTGAAGAATCAATCATAAGAATACTTTCAATATGATTTTAATTAAAATTAGAGAGGAAGAAAAATGATCAAGACTAGAATAAACAATGTAATCTGACACACTATAATACATTCCACCTGTGTATAGTATACAGAAGTGAATGGAAAATGGCATCCAATTTCAAAGTATCCTCTTAATGGCAGTAACTTATTTCAGTTTATAGCAAATTTGGTGTTTCAGCATTTGGAAACAGATACACATCCCACCCATTTACTTGCCATATACAGCTTATTCTGTGCTCCACAGGGTCCACACCGACCCTGTGGCCCACACAACATCCTATCCACTGTATACCAGGGGCTCTTTCCCTCCAGTTAATGTGATCACTGTTGGAAAGTCACCACTTACCTCCATCAAGTGTCGAAGTCAAGAATGACAGGATACCTCCAGTCCCCCTATACGCCTTAATGTCGTGTTGCACAAGCACAACTTTACATTAACTATTCAAGGATACATTCTGAATTGTACAGATTATATAGCTCAAACGGTAAGATCATTCCAAGCCTTGAATTGCAAGGGATGCAATGGAATTGTTATGACCTTTCTGAATACATAATGCTGTACCATTCGCCTGATCTCCTTCATTTGTTCCAGAAATCCATATTTGGCGATATAGTCTCCATATACAGAACGTGTCAAGTTTTACTGTATATCAGTTCTCAATACTGTAATATTTAACTACATACACAAATCATGTACACCTCAGAAGCACACCACGTACAACTATAAAAATGAGATACAATACAACAAACCCACACACAAAATTTTCTATTACCAGAATAAGCACTGTATCCAAAGTTATAAAAATTAAATGAAAACAAAATCTTTATTATTTCAAGAGGCAATGACACACCGACACATATTAAAAATTTAAAATTCCATTAATTCAACAGAGTAAAAAGAGTGATTTTATATCAATTTTAAATAAATTAAAATGTTCCCTTAATTCTATCTGTTCATGAACCTTATTGTACGAACTGATACCCATATTTATCACAAGTTTCTCAAAGAGACTGTATTACAGTGTTGCGCAAGTAAATTTAATTTTTTGCACATATGATTACAGATATCCATATTTTTTACCACAGGATTTTTATATTTTTTAATAAAACACACCACTTCTAGTATGAATAAAGAAGACAGTGTTACTATATTATAGTCTTTGAATATTTCCTACCTGATAACTGACACCGCTAATTATTCAAAGGGCCTTCCTTTTCAATTTAAAAATTTTACATATTACCTTCATTATCCCCACCCGATAATATACAATGCAATATCTCAGGCATGACTGAAAATTTGTATAATAAATGGTTCTTATTATATGAGGGCTGTTTCTTTTACTATTTTGATCACGTATACTACTTTACATAGCTTTGTTCTTGATGCTCAGATATGAGTGCCACATGTTAAGTTCTCTGTAATTAAATTCCTAGAAATCTCAGTTCTCACTGATACCTGATATTTATATTTTTAAAGGTTATCTGCAGTCTTAGAGGAAATGTCATATGTTTTGAATGAAGTAACACAGCAACTGTCTTTCAGTATTTATTATCTGATTATTTTATTGAAGTCATATTTCTAACTCTTTCATAACATTTATTATTTTATGTTGAAAGTCAAATACATCTTTTCCAGTAATTAATAAATTTGAATCATCTGCAAACAAGTCAATCTTTGCCCCCTGTACATTTTCTGTGATATCATTTATTTACTTACGCATGGAGCTGAGCCCTTCTTGAGGAGCTGCCAATTCTGCAGCTACTCAAGAATTCCCCAGCATTTTATGGAAGCCGAAGGTTCATTACCATGTTCACAAGAGCCCTCCACTGGTCCCTATCCTGAGCCAGATCAATCCAATCAAAACCATCCCATCCTCTCTCTCTCTCTCTCTAAGATCCATTTTAATATTGTCCACCCACTTACACCCTGGTCTTCCCAGTCGTTTCTTTCCCACCAATATCCTATATGCATTCCTCTTCTGTTCCATTCGTGCTACATGCCCTCCTCATCTCATTCTCCTTGAATTGATCATTCTAATTATACTTGGAGAAGAGTACAAGTTATGAAGCTCCTCATTATGCAGTTTTCTCCAACCTCCTGTCACTTCATCTCTCTTTGGTCCTAATATTCTCACAGAATTATTAGATTTTTGGACTTTTTCCATCATCCAGAATTCTATGTAATAGAAACAGACCCAGTTTCCAAAACATTGTGTCTTCTATTACCTAGAATTCTGAATGATGGTAAGAGTCCAAGAACCCAGTAATTTTGTGTCATCCAACATCATCAAAACCATTTATAAACTACCAAATATTCTCTTCAACACCCTGTTCTCAAACCCCCTCACTCTATGTTCATCCCCTAATGTCAGAGACAAAGTTTCACACCCATACAGAACCACAGGCAAAATTATAGTTCTGTATATTCTAATTTTTATGTTTTTGGACAGCAGACGAGAAGACAAAAGGTTCTGGACTGAATGGTAGCAAGCATTACCCAAGTTCAATCTCCTCTTAATTTTTGCCTTCATACACTACAGTCACATCTTTCATTGTCAAATTTTTAACTTCTTTTGCTGTTTTGTAATAGCCATTAAATCAACTCCTGGCTTAATGACCCCCTGAGCTGCAAAGGTGTTATCCAGGTCTTATTTCACTTTAGATGCACAGTCTCTTCCATGACTGTTCCCAGCAGTTATAATTTTGTGTTTCCGTCTTCCTTTTATAATGTTTTCCCACTTCTTGATTTCACGTTGATTTGCACACCAGCATCTCACACTTATCGCTAATACAAGGTCACTAATAGCGATTTGTTATGGCTGGTATCAGGTATGTATTTTCCTGTCCTCCATAAGTGAATTTTTTTGTTTTGTTTTCGTTATTATTTCTTGACATGTCCAGTGGTATTGCACTTCAGTGATGGACGAAAATAAAGTTGAAAGTTACTGCATCTGACCACTTAGCTTCATTCAGAGTTTGCTGTCTAATAGTTTCATACAAATTTGTTACCTGGAATATTATTTACTTGTCAACATAACCTATTTGACTGCTTGTCTCTCATCAGTTTCTAAAAACTGATTTAATTCTCTCACTTCACCTTTTGGTTCTTTACGTCCAACAATCACATCCATTTTTCTAAAGTGTAATTGACTATTTTAAGAGGAGTTTGGATACCTATATTGGCTTCATACTGAGTATTTACTGCACTATAACGCCTACCTTCAATTTCCTAATTCTTTCTGCAAAAGTTCAACATTTCCTTTCGTAACACTTTCAGCGGTATGGTTTTGATTTCCATGGTTCCCTCAAATTTTCACTGGACTGAGTTACATTATAAGCTAAATAAGGTGCGCTCCACTTAGTACAAACATACACATGTTCTTCACCTGTTTGATGTCATATCTTGGAACGCTAGGAAGCTGTTGGAACGCTTGGAACGATGGGAAGTTTTGTTCTCATCAGTGATTGGTTGAATGCACGAGTACTAAATATGGCTTCTTTCATGGTGATATGTATTGTATATTTGTGTGTAATTTTAAGGCTGTCATTTCCAGGTAACTAAAGATATTAGAAGCTAAATGTGCTGGCATTTTGGACTGTTCATTAGCCATTATTTATTGATTACCGATTGTACCAGCCGAATTTGGTCGCATGATACGTTTCCTCTGAAAAGATACGAATGTCATTATCTGAGCTTTCACATTACATGTGACGTTGAACGTAGGCGTGCCAAGATATATTATTGTGTATTTTTTAAAAGTGCCACTTCATTTTAATTTCAGCTTCTGCAGAAAGTATTAAGGATAAAATGTATGAATCTGTAGAAGGTGCTGTTGCATGCTTCAGAAGACTAAATGGAACGCATCAATTTGGTTGTTCATGTAAGTAAAGTAATTAAGTAAATCGTGTGTTCATTTAGTGTATGTCGCGAAACTAAAGATCGGTGTGAGTTTGTTTTTAATAAGGCATTAAGTTGCATTTTTTCGTAGCATTTGGTCATAATAGTTATTAACGTCTGTAGAAAACCTTTTTCAGACGCTCCCACTCTTGTGACATGTATTTCATTGAATTCTGTCAGCAGTATTCTTATGTGGGATTTTCTCCAAAAAGTGTGATGAGATTTGTCGCTAAGTGTTCCAACATGTGTGCTGTATCTGTAATGTCAGAATCCTGGAATATGTAGTAGAACTAACACTGAAGTTGCAATTACCATTCTTTGGAAAAGTTCATAATATGCTTTAGTGGTTCAGAGACTTACTTGCATTAATTAACATAGTATGTAGCTCTTAATTTAATCATAGTTATGAGTTTTCATCTTTATTCATTATATTGTGATTTTCTGGATTGTGAAGACATTGTGGTGTTTGCAGTAGGGAACCAATATTTGATTGGCATGCTCAGAATAAACCAAGAAGATCAAGGTAGTAGTTTCTTGTGATATGATGTACCCAATCTACCAGACTACAACATGGTATAGAAATTTAGAAGACTGTAATATGAATCTTAATTTTTATATTCCATTTCTGCTTCTCATATATACACAAGATCTGAACTTGTTCTCATTAAGAATAAAGTGATGTTTCTTCATATAGCAACTACCAAAACATAATCAACTGGTAGCATAGAAAGCTGAAATAGTATGTAAGTACATATTTTCAGGTATCTTAAACACTTATATTATCCATGAGTAAAGTATCTGACACCATTAGTCATACCAGATATCATAGTTGTGTGATTAAAACTCCTTCGTGATATATAGAAGGCCTTGAATTCAGAGCTCAGCCTGAAATGCACTGTTCTGAGTTACAGTGTTTGTAGTTTTCCTCAAACTCTTGTGATAAGATAACACGTAAAAGTGGGCTACATCTGCATGCTTTCACATCCCTTCTGTAGCTGTACAATTTTGGGGACAGTCAGGGGTTTTCTTTTTTTTTTTTTTTATGGTGAGGGTTATGTGAAATTCATCACTTTTGTCTCACATTTGGACATTTCCTCCTGAAACACGCAGGAGGTAGCTTGGATCAAGCTTGAAGCCAGCTGCACATCAGTAAATCATTCAAGTTAATATGTAACACAAGAACAGGTTCTTTGGAAATTCTAAAGTTTGACAGCAGAAGTCATAATTTTAGCAGTCATTCTGGACTCTTGCTACCCCAAATTCCAGTTTGTCAGTCACACAGCAAGTGGCAGACTTCACCCCTAGTCTCTCACTGCTTGAGTATTTCTTTTTATAATTGGAGGAGAAAGATTAAGCAGCCTCCCAGCTTGCCTGCTCCAGCCAATCAAAATCAGAAATGGGACATCCTTTGCCTGAATTTTGGGTAACCAGGGCAGATGTCTACCCTTCAGAGTGTGCTTGGCTGGAAGACTCTGAAGTTGGCACTCGTCTGGGATACACGTGTTCTCCAATCATCCATATATTCACTTCTTTGTGGTTCCTCTCAACTAGTGTGTTTAGGAATCAGTAATGACCTAAACCCACCAATCAATTAATTGGTCACTACGGCGCATTCATCACTTGAATTGTGCAATTCAGATAAATATTTGAAACTGCTAATTGGTGTTTGAGTGTTGACTGTCTTATGCCCAAGACCCCCCCTAATCACCCAAGTCACAGCCAATCAACATGACCTGAGAAGAGTTTGATTCTTCTGCCAGACCTAGTACTACAAAGGAACGGCTACACTTCTTATACATCCTTTACAGTGCTGTATAACCTGTGCATTGAAAAGCATTGTTTAGTAACCCAAGAATTGATCAAGTCACTGATACTGCTAAAACATAGCAACATCATCATCACAGGGAGTGACCTGTACACATAACATCATAAAAACCTTATATACATCACTCCAAGTAAACAACCTGTTGGGTGATAGACAGAATAATGAGTGTAGGCTCCACAAGAGGATAGCAAGGTCAAAACCACACAACCTAATTTATGAGAGAAGATCCCAACACACAGGCACCCCACACCATAATTGCTCCTACCACCAGATAAGCATAACAACATATAGTGGTCACAAAGTTTTAAAGAGATTTGTTACAAAATGTCTCATATCTGTACAATTTTAATGTTAATTTTTAATTCTAAATTGTGCTTCCTAAGTACCAGGGTTGGAACTTTAATAATGGCAACTATTTATTTACAACTGATACAAAATAGATGCATGTTTCGAAGTTTTACTGTCCTTCACTGTAGTCACTAGCATTGCATACAACCTGTTGCCAGCGATGTAGAAGTCATAGGATACCTTTAGCAGCGCCTGTTGTGTTGACAGTTCGAATGGAGCAATCTACTGCCTGAAGAATCTCTGGAACAGTTATGAAGCGAATGACACGAAGTGGTTCCTTCATCTTAGGAATCAAGTCAGAGTCACAAGGGCTTCATTCTGGGGAGTATGGTCGATTGTACAGCCCTTCCCAGCCCCATCAATCAAACAAATCAGCCACAGCTTGCACTGCATTCAGCCAAGCATTGTCCTGCAAAGTGATGGGTGGGTTCTGCAGAAAGTGTCTCCACTTCTTTCTCAAAGCTGGTCACAGGTTGTGTTCCAAAAATGAAGAGTAATACTGTGCATTGAAAATCTGCTGTCAGGAACGTATGCGTTAGGATAACATTCCTTCAGAATGTGAAGCACAGTTGTATGTGCTAATCCTGTCTCTCGGGCCAGCTCACGAATCGTATGGTGTCGATCACTCTCCAGTAACGCAGAAAGAGCATACACTTCTTCACTGACACTAGGACGACCTGGCCAACGAATGTCTGCCACATTTTGGCGTCCCTCGTTGAAGGCTTTTACCCACCTTGTGACTGTTCTGTAAAGCAATGCAGATTCCCTGCAAGCCTCTTGAAGACCTTGATGACACTGTCGTGCTGTATGGCCTCTGGTACATTCAATCTTTATCCAACTCCGTTGTTCCCGTTTCGAAAACGTGACAATACTACATTAGACCGCCCGCTAACACGAGGCTCTGTTCTTCTTGTCACTGCACATGTGCGTGATGTGGGAAGGGAGAGTTCATTTGCTCTGATGTAAGGTAGGTATGCAACTAACGTGTGGTGTAAGTGACATTATTTGGTTCCGTTGCATGGCATCTCTACAGCAGTGTTGCCACTATTAAAGTTCCAACCCTCATATTTACATTTTAACTGAAAATTCAGTTTATGCATTTAAAACTTACAAGAACACAATGTGGATCCATATTGAAATTAGATGCAATTCAAGAACTAGGACTAGTATCATTGTACGCCTAATGATGGCCCAATATAGGGGCCAAAACATGTAGTGTCAACAGCAAAATAAATGTTGATACAATAGTGTCTCTTTTGTTTTTCACGAAAATTTTTGTGCAGACTGCCCCTCTTATACACATATATCCTATAAGAAAATTGTGGCATGAAACCAGGGACCATAAAACAAGTTAATTGGGTCATGAAATCAATCAGACAAATGACCCATAGAAAGGCACTCGAGTAGTGGGAAATAAAATTAGGGAACTGTGAGGTCACACCTCAAGCTCTATGGCCTATTGCAAAATTGCTTATGAAAGGGACAGACCAAAACCACCAGCCACTGTTCATGGACCTTTAGGAATAACATATCACCTGATAGAGGAAGCCAACATGATTGCAGATTGTATAGAAAACCAGTTCACATCTCATGACCTGTGTGGCAAAAACCATGAGTGACAAGTGGAGACTATTGTCCAAGCTCTGCTCGCATCCATAGGCGACACCCCACTGGGAAAAGTGAGACCATGTGACATACATAAATTAACAAATTCATTGAGATTGAGTAAGGCTTGTGGACTTGATGGTATTCCAAATGAATGCCTTAGGCATCATCCAAGAAGACCACTGGTATATCTGACCCATTTAATTAATCACTGCCTTTGGTTGTCCCATTTTCCAAAGGCTTAGAAGGAAACAGAATTTATAACATTACTGAAACCCTGTAAGGACCCAAAATTTATGTCCAATTATCTTCTTGTTTACAATGGGCAAGCTATTCTGAAAATAGTTCAGAGGCATGTTGAAGAAACAGGGCCTTCTTACTGGAAGCCATCTGGTTTCTTATCCGATCACAGTGTGACCCTTCAATTAACGATGCTCATGGACCATGTCACCTTAAATTTCAACAATGAGATGTCTATGGCTGCTGTATTCTCAGATATTGAAAAAGTCTTTGATAAAACATAGCACCTTGGCTTCCTGTATAAATTATCAGAATTAGAATTTTCTATCAGTCTAATAAAGCTTACTAGCTCTCTTCTCTCTCAGAGAAATTCCAGAGTTTGGGTTGAAGGTGAAAATGGCTACACCAAGGGATGTACAAGCAGGAGTGTCCCAAACACCTGGTGTCTCTTTGCTGATGACACCTGTATATGTGTGACAGACTGCAAAGAGGGTTATGTTCCCAGAAACCTGCACCGAGGTCTCAGTGCAGTTGAGATGTGGTGAGAGCACTGAAACATGAAAATAATGAAGATAAGACTCACACCGTCTACTTTTTTCATAGACTTAGGTCCCCTGATGCTCATCTTAAATTGAGTGGACAGAATATCCCATTTGTCAGTCATGTAAAATATTTTAATATAATCTTCAATAAGAGGTTTGCATGAATACTGCACATAAAAATGATTGAAACCAAGGCCTTCAGAACATTTATTAGAATCTACTCCCTATCCAAAGTGAGTGTTTAACTGCCAATATTAAACTAACCCTCCATAAGGCACTGATCGTCAGCAATGACTTATGCTTGTCCCATGTGGGAATTAGTAGCAGACACCTACTTCTTAAAATTGCAGCACCTAAAAACGAAGTTCTCTGCACCATTGAAATTTTCCAAGGTGCATGCTGGTCCTCGATTTACACACAGCT